AGATCTAACCCATTAAAAAAGCAATCCAATAGTTAAAAAGAACACCTCTTAGTTTCTACCGATCGAGTAAAATAATTTTCTCCGCCATAAAGATTTTCAATAAAAAAAAACTAAGTGCCCTTTTAGAAAATGGGTTTAAACCAGATGGTTTAAACGATAATTAAAATTTTGTAAGAGAATCTATTAACGAAAACTTTGTAGATTTAAATTTTTTATAAGAAAAAACATTATAAGAGACCTAAAAGCATGGTTAGAACCCATTTTTCAAACAACCGCTAAATGTGTCTAAAACACAAGAAAAGTTGTAAACAAAAGTTCTTTCTAATCCAAACTTCAAAGTTCAAACAAAAAGTTGAGACCAGGTGCCTGTTGGCGTCTGTATGACAATTGGATGGGTGCTACTAGAGATGTCAAACGTGTCGTGCCGGGCCAGCACGGCACGTCCAACCCCAGGCCCGTGGCGGGCCTGGGCCGGGCCTGGCACTGCCCTAGACAGTGCAGGGCCGTGCCTGGGCTGGGCCTGAGGAGAAAAACTCAGGCCCGGTCCAAGCCTGCAGCCCTAGTCCATAAGGGCCAGGGCCGGGCCTAGGCCTAGGCCTTCACGGGCCGGCCCTGGCTCTTGTAAATTTTTTTTTTAAAAATTAATTAAGAAAAAGAAAATATATCATATGCCCCCAAAAGATGTGATTTGATTGAATTGAGATAATACGAATAAGTACACATAAATGACCGCCTAGTTAAAAATCTTGCTAAGTAAAACTCGTGGGGAGATCGGGACAAAACGTTAGCGAAGGAAAAAAGAGTGCAGTAGGAATAGTAAATTATAAACCTAAGTGCTTCCAAAAGATTATGTTATTTCTAAGTTAGAAAATAGTCTTGCATTGAATCATCCGTGTATTGTTGTTTTCGTCTTCTGGCATCTTCCGAGTCTTTAACGCACATTAGCCCCTCCAAGATATCTGGATGCATTCCGCTTCTCTTCTCGTCAAGAATTCGGTTGCTCACACTTAATGCTTGCTCCGATACTACCGTTGACACTGGAGTTGTCATACTGTCGCGAGCTGTTACGGACAGTGTTGGAAAACGATCGGTCTTGCTCTTCCACCACTGTAATATGTCTATTTTGTCGTCATTAATTACAAAATTTACTTCAAAACATTTTACTAGTTCGGTAGACGCTTGTGTTGATGACGATCCTGCCATTTTCTCTTTCTTCTTCAAGAAACTCCACGATGATCCTTTAGGCCCCGAACTGCTAGTTGACGTCGAAGTTTCATGTTCTTTTTTACCTATGTTGTATTTTGCTTCATACAAACTAAATACCTTCTCTAACATTTTCTTAGTGTCAGTAATAGTTAGTTGCATATCAATTCCTAAATTTTCTGCTGTAGCAATCAGGAAAGATTCAGTCTCATCTACTCCGCACCTAGGATCTAAAATGGTTGCTAATGCCAATAACATAGGACAACCTGACCAATAATTTTTAAATTTAGTTTTCATTAGCTTAACTATGTCTCCAAAAGGTATTGTATCCCTATAATAAGAAAATATTTCTGAAATATTAAATAGTTGATATAGTCTAAATGTGCAGTAGGATTATAAACTCTAGAAAGTAATTCAGTAGTATTGTATAAAACTTCTAGAAATTTAAAAAAAATACTCACCAATCTGCCAATCTGTATCAAAAATTAAAAGTTAATCGTTCTTATTGTTTACATACATTGTGATGAACTCTGAATACGAGAGTGTAACCTTCAACATTAAATAGGTGGAATTCCACATATGCCGCACATTAGTTGGGAACTTTCTTGGGCGCATCTGACTATTCTTGCAATATTGTTTGAATTCTTGGAGCCGAGCTCCAGGACTAGATATGAAGGATAAAGATTCTCTAATATTTATTAGATTAGCTAAAATATGTTCAATTCCTGCATGAACTACTAAATTGATTATGTGACACGCACAGCGTTAATGAAATTCTCCCCCAACGCTGGTTTCAAACTACGTTTAAACATGTTAATTGCAGCTGTGTTAGCTAACGTATTATCAAAAGTAATAGTTAAAACTTTATCTTCTATCCTATAAAACTAAAAAATTTCCATTATTGTACTAAAAATAGCCGATGCATTATGAGGATATGGACATAAACGAAAACCTATTATTCTTTTTTATAAAACCCATTTGTCATCAACATAATGCGCCATGATATATAAATATCCAGTTTTATTGCACCCCTCCCATAAGTCAGAAGTACAAGATACAGTAGCATTAAAAGTCCTAAAATTATCAACAAGAGATTGTCTCATTGCATAAAACACTTTCATGCAATCAGAACGAGTTGTGTTTCTACTTACCCGTTTAAATTTTGTGCAGAAGGCCGTTTGTATGAATTCTTTGAATGACGCATCATCTGCAAAAGAAAAAGGCAATTCGGCACTAGCTAGAAATTTAGCTAGTGCCTCACAAGCACGTTGTGCATCGTATATAAAATTTTGCAACCCCTGTGATGTGAGTGCTATTGTTTGTTGGCGGGAGTCGACACTCCCACCTTGGTGCAATGGTAGACATATTTTACAATGTCTATCCAGATAACTAGTACCCCCACCATTTTTATTAGAAAAGTAATTTTTTACAATACTTACATACCGCACGAATTTCTATTTCACCTGTTTTTGGATTTGGTCGGGGCTCCTCTGTGAATTGCTGTCATGCAGGAGAAGTTCGTGGTCTTTTTACCCTGGTGTGTTCTCCAACTTCCTCATTGTGCATTGAAGCATTATCTACATGAGCATTTTCTGGTTCAGTGGGGGTAGGGTTGGGAGGCATTATTTCATCCTCAAAAAATGGCTCATCACCAAGCTCAGGAAGAGCAGTGAAATTAGGGAAGTTTGATGCGGCCATTTTCTGAAAATTGATTGAACTTAAACTCTGTAAATGAAAGAGCAAGAAAATGAGTGATCGCGGAAAAAAATTTAGAATCAAAATCAAATGGACAAGATGAGAGATAGAATGAGAGTGAGATGAGAAGTTGAGAGTGAATTGTTGTGTGAGATTTACGGTGGAATTAATAGGTATTTATAGGGGAGTTTTGGGGGGCTTTTCGAATTGTGACCGTTGGGCCCTTCGCAAACCCAACGGTCGGCCCGTGACGGGCTTAACGGGAGGCCCATCACGGGCCTAAAGGGAGGCCCGTCACGGGCCGACCATTAGGCTTGCAAAGGGCCCAACGATCACAATCCGAACGGGCTTTAGGATGTTTCACGGGCCATTTTGCGGGCTTGGGCCTGGCCGAACAAGGGCCGAATCCGAGCTTGGGCTGAACTGGGTTTGGGCTGGGCCGCGGGCCTTCACAGACTAGCGCCGGGCTTGGGCCGCGGGCTGAGAAGCTGAGACCCAGCCCTAACCCAGCAAACGTGCCAAGCCGGCACGCCTTGTAACAGTACCGTACCGGGCTGTGCCGAATCCGACACTGTTATGGGCTGGGCTATGCCGTCCATGAATGACCCGGCCCATTGACAACTCTAGGTGCTACTGCTCAACTGATCAATTTTTGTAATCTTCTACTGGCTTTCCTGGAAACATGGCTTATTTAAGAACCCCTATTTTGCATTTGACAAGGGGGTTTTTAGGCTAGACCTAAAGCATAAGTATTATGACATTACTGATTCATAAATTTTTTGTTTGCGGGTCACTCTGTAAATAATGACTTTTGACTGTTTTAGTGGCTAACTTTAAAATTGAGAAAATTTTCTGAAATTAGAATGGACGAATCACTATCTTTTTTTGTTTTTTGGATCTAGAATCACTATAAGGCATATAAAATGAAAATTTTCCATAAACAGTTACATCAAAAATAAAATAGAAAATATTTTTCACTTAACATAACTATTTCTTTACATTTTTGAGTTATCACATAATATGTACGCGATTATCTTTTTAAAATATAAAAAATCCACTATAATTTTATGGTCAAGGGCCAACCTTCCTAGAAAACATAAGCTCATGTAGGAATTTGTTAAAAATAAAAAAAAAAAAAGAGTCCAATGGCTAAAGAAATAAAATGTGACAACACGTATAATTCAAAAATTAACTGTGTTAACAACTCAAAGAGTACCAAAATTTATATGTAAAATTCCCTTGAACGTCATTTGGATGTGTTCATGATTATTAGACGGATTTTTTAAGTTATATTCCAACAATTTTTCGCGGGGTGTATTAAATTAAGATACATAATTGAGAGAAGCATCTATGAAATTAATTTAAATTATAATTGTAGACATGTAATTACATTGGTCAAATCCAGAGTGTTGGTCGTCAATATTATTGTTATTATTATTTGGGTATAATGTTAAGAATTCAAGATTAACACCACCAAAAATCTTTCTTTAATTAACAAACTTTGTGTCGGGTGAAAAGAAAAAATAAGAGAAAATCATATAATTTACTTTTAAGAGTGTATGAATCTAAATTTTTATTCTTAATTTTAAATTAATATTTTTTTATAATATAATTATTTAACTAAAAAAATTATTTAAGTAAGAAGTAAAAATTCTAACTAGACTATTTGTCTTTTTTCTCTAAAAACCAACCATGATATGAATGGGCCACATTAGATTGATCTTGGATTGGCCCACATACAGTGTGTAACCCAAACTACCTGGCCCAAAGTGTTATTTCTTCCAGAGCTGGATGGCATAATCGGTAATTAGAATGCCATTGTTCTTCCCTGTTAAACCCTACCTAGGGGCTCCGCAGTCTCATCTCTTCTATAAATCCCAACTCCTCGTCGCCTCTCTCTTCTCTCTCTCTTGACTCTCAGTTCCTTCTATATCTGTTTGGTTTGGTTCTCGTCTCGAAGAATGTCTTGTTAGTCTATTCATTCGCGGGTAACATTTTGGAATATTAAATTCTATTTTATTTTATTAAAAAAAATTCTATCTTATTTTCTTATTGCATTTTAAGCCATGAATTTCTGTTCGTGTTAAATTATTTTTCTTTTTGCTTGCAATGATGATAAATGTGAATCCCAGCTCATTATGAGACCTTTTGTAGGTCTGGGAGTAGAATCCAATCCACATATTATTCTGAGCCCATTTCAAAATTTTTTTTCTCATAATATCTTCTTTTTGGCTATTTTCGATTCTCTTTTTTTTTTTTTTGGTGGTTTTGCTCCCTCTTTTTCTTTTTCTTTTTTTCTAAGTAATCATGAGGTAAATTCTTGTTTTACTATTGGATGTGTTGCAAATATTTCAGATGATTTTGACATTTTTCTTCAGAAAAGAAAAAAAAATTGGAAATTTTCCCTATGATGCTTAATTTGATAAGAAACCATGCTAATGCTGATCAATAAGTGATTGATCTTGCTATTCTTTTCCTGAGGGATTTTTTAATTTCTTGTTTTTTTTTTGTCATTTATTTTCATTGTCGTTATTTTTTTTTTTTTAGCGAAATATCTCTGAAGTAATCTGATTTTGGTCGAAAATGATAACTCACAGTCACAGGCTCTTAGGCCTGAGATGCGCTATTATTACAATTTTGATCTAGTTTGATAACAACATTTTTGCTATATAGAGCTTTTTTCTTCAAGAAAGATTTAACGTCTTTCATGGTGGAACACTATTTGAAAAATGAATATTTGTGTATTCCATCTCATCTTTGGTGAATATATAATGTATCCTATATAACAGTATGAAATGATTCCCAAAACAGCCTTGTGTGCTAATATATTTCATTAATCCAAGGAGAATCCTATATCCCCAAGAAGATAGACAGTAATAAACCATTGTATCTAAATGAAAACTATAAGAGAAATCATCAAAAGAAGATGAGAATACAAGGAACGTGATCAATATTTTGGCCTAAGCTCAATTCCCTCAACAATAAGCCCGCCTTTAAGGTGTTGACCTTTCACTTCCTTTAAGCTAATGTTAACTTCCTTATCATTGCCACCATTGAAAAAACTCCCCAATTCAATCTCCATCCAACCATCTTTTCGGTCACAAACATTTCCCCTCCCTTCTTGAAGCAACCTTGACCTCAAAGCCTCGACCGGGCGGTTCGGAGAATGCACATGTCCTAAAGGATTTTTTCTTCCTTCATTAGGATTCAAGTAGACTTGTCTTTGTGATTTGAAACTGCCAACTTCAATTGAAACCTCAGAAGGGAGAAAGTCCAATCCATATGCGCGATCGGCGAACTTCACAACGAGATAGGCTGCATAGAAGGTTTTCGGAGATAGCTTGTTGGTGCTCATGGTGCCACAGATTTCTAGCCACCACATACAAATTAGTTCAGCTACTTCCGCAAACCTGAATTTTTGTTTAATTCATTTTCCCCAATGTGAAAGAGAAAAGTTGTCTAATTAATTATACACTTGACTTATGAAGAATTTATATCAAGCAGGTTTTGTTGAAATTTACTAGTAAGAAGGAGATTAAACCTTGATTCAGGAAGTGGCTTCCATGACCAATATAGAGGATGGCTACCCCATGTAATTGAAAGCTCTTTTGCGCTCAACATGTAACATTTTTTACTCGTTGACTTATCAATCGAAAAAATCTGTGACATTTCAAGAGAATTAATAGCACAAACAAATAATAATAATAATAATAAGAGATATGATTTATAAACCTTCCTTGCGTGAAAATCAATCCTCTTCAAAGCATATGCTATTGGCCTTGCCTCGTATGAAGAAATTGAAATTTAAAGGGTATTTCAAGCATGGGGTAGTAAAGGGACTTTTTTTTTCCTTTTAATTTACACCTAATTTTTTACATTTTTTTTATTAATTTTAAGAGTGAGAAATTCGAGCTGTACATATTTTAGAGGAGTCAGGTGTGAAATTAATTTATACTTACAACCATTAATTTTTTCAAATACTGTGCTAAAGAAACTTGTTCATCAACAGACGGTGGAACAAATATGAGCTCTAGAAGTACTAGAATTCATATTTGATCCACCGCCTGTCCATGCTCAAGCAACATCAAAGAAAGTGCCACCAAAATGCATTTTCTTCTCCTAGTTTCTAATATGTCAAAGGATGCACATTTATGCTATATAGTCGTCTATGACCATATTAAACTCAATGTTTCATATATGGTCAAGTAGTGTTATATGCATATGTAATGCAGCCTTTGACATATGGATTTTTGGCTTTCTTATACAAATGTTTACTCCGCTGTATATAAGGCATGTTTGGAAAAGCTTCTTAAAAGTTGTTTTTGGCTTTTTAAATTTAAAAGTAGCTTCTAGAAGTGTTTAGATTATCTGTGCTTTGCCTTTTCAGAAGAGCTTCTAATCAAAGCCAGAAGTTGTGACTTCTATTCAGACTTTGAAACTTGTACCAGAGTTTAATTAAGGCATTATAAGCTTAATTTCATTACTTTTATTGCTTATTAGAAAATTTAAAAATTATTTAAATCCATTAAGCACTTTGTTCCAAACACTTACTGAAAAGCCACAGCTTTTACTTCTCTTCTTCTATTGGCTAAAAATAAAAGTAAAAATTCTGTCAAATGGCCCATTTCTATCTATAATCTCTCAATTCTAAGAGCATATTTATAAGACATGTGGCTGCATATAAAAATATTTTATACTTGTGTCTTCATTAAATAACTGAAATATATAATTGTGTTCTTAAGTAATCAAAAAGATTAACTTTTTATAGTATGTCCATTTTTTTTTTTTTTTTTGAGTGGGGGGCTCCATGAGAGACATGGTATGAAAACTGCATGGATGAAATTGAATAATTGAAAAACATTGGAAAAGACTCTAGCTTGTTTATATGCTTAAATCAGTTAAATGTCATAAGAGATGATAGAGAAAAATTTCCAACTAAGCTTTAATTTTATTTTATTGCTTCAAGAAGAAATTATCTTTTTGAGAAAATGACACCACCTCTCAGTTAATGGAAAGATGGACTTAAAATTTTTGGCTTTTTAAATTTAAAAGTAGCTTCTAGAAGTGTTTAGATTATTTGTGCATTGTCTTTTCAGAAGAGCTTCTAATCAAAGCCAAAAGTTGTGACTTCTATTCAGACTTTGAAACTTGTACCACAGTTTAATTAAGGCATTATAAGCTTAATTTCATTACTTTTATTGCTTATTAAAAAATTAAAAAATTATTTAAATCTATTAAGCACTTTGTTCCAAACACTTACTGAAAAGCCACAGCTTTTACTTCTCTTCTTTTATTGGCTAAAAGTAAAAGTAAAAATTCTGCCAAACGGGCCCATAGAAGGGTACTGCTTCTATCTATAATCTCTCAATTCTAAGAGCATATTTATAAGACATGTGGCTACATATAAAAAAATTTTATAATTGTGTCTTCATTAATAACTGAAATATATAATTGTGTTCTTAAGTAATCAAAATGATTAACTTTTTATAGTATGTCCATTTTTTTTTTTTTGAGTGGGGGGCTCCATGAGAGACATGGTATGAAAACTGCATGGATGAAATTGAATAATTGAAAAACATTCGAAAAGACTCTAGTTTGTTTATATGCTTAAATCAGTTAAATATCATAAGAGATGATAGAGAAAAGTTTCCAACTAAGCTTTAATTTTATTTTATTGCTTCAAGAAGAAATTATATTTTTGAGAAAATGACACCACCTCTCAGTTAATGGAAAGATGGACTTAAAATGATCAGATCCCTTGTGGTGACCACTTAAAAGGAGATCAGAAATAAAGCAGAATATGGCTTTGATTTTCTTCTTTCTCTAGACCTTTTTGGAGCCGAAAAACAGAAATATTCATACGCTGTTTTGTCTTCATGCTGCTGGATGATTAAGCCTTTGAAAGGGTTAATCCAATCCAATGTTTGATCTATTGCTATAGTTTAACTTTAGGACATTAACTCTCGTCAAGAGGTAGTAGTAAGGTCGACGTTATTGTTAGCGTCTGAAGAACCCCTTTGATAATGCTCATAGGGATATTTTAACGCTGATCACCCCTCTCTGGACTTTTTGGTGTTAAAAATAAAATTATTGATGTGTGTGTGAGTGTGGTTATCATATCCACATCAATATTAATCTATCGGTGGGTATTATTGTTTTAACTGTGTGATATTGATCAAACATTTATAGTATTATTATTTTAACTGTGTGATATTGATCAAATATTTGTAATAAATTGAGTAGTTGACCAAAAAATATATATAAGAATTAAGATCGAATTTTTATCATGTTATAGTATCAAATTTCTATATTTAATGGGTAGCTATCGATAAAAACGTAACCATTAAAATTTTCTCTATATATGTGTGCGCAAATATGTATACATAATGTATATGTGTGTACATATCGATGTATACATATATGCATGTGTGAGGTTAAACCTAACACAATGCATAAACATAGGACTTTTACTCAATTTAGAGCTAAAAATGGTGCGCTACATTTAACGGCTCTCTCTCTTTCTAAGAATTTCTCTTTACACTGAAGGTTTTGTGTTTGACACTTTCTACAACTACCTCTCTTTTCTAACTCTTAGGGATCCTGTCAAACAAAATTACCACCGACTTTGTTTGGCAGATAATTTTTGTAATTAAGTACAGAAGTATTGGCCACTGGCACTGCTATTTCCATGTGTCTTACTGGGTTGGAAACTAAATCAAATGGCCAAAATAGGACATGAAAAGATTTTAGAAAGCAAGGTGGCTTTCAAAAGTGAAAAATAAAATCCGTAAAGAGTAATGAGAAATTCATAGAAAGAGAGAAAGCTGTTAGATGTAAGCACCATCTATACCTATCAAATTGAGTAAAAGTCCAATGTATATACATTTTGTAAGACTTTGATTACCTATACATATGCATAACCATACACACTGTGATGTGGGAGCCAGGACATCTTTTCAGTGGGAGTATAGAATTCTCTATTTTAAAATGGAACATAAAATATTATTTTTTTCTTTATCAAGTAGAGACGCAATTATAATATTTTTATTAAGAGAGAGTTCAATTTAAGTTTTTTTAAAACTTACATATAATGAAAATTAATTTCATAACCTCAGTGACGTGCCCCACTGAGATTAATGGGGCGCTCGCGCGCGCATATAGATATATATATATATATATATATATACACACGTACCTATGTGTTTGGTCTCATTTGATATCACGTATTGATAAGATCTGCACTCTATATTACCCTACGGGTGGAGCATAGTTCTAAACCATCAATTGTCTATCACGTTCCTTTAAATTGTTATATATATATATTTTTTGTATGATATAATCATGAGGTGATTCGAGGGCTCATAAGTGTGAAATTGAAAATGTTACCAAACACGTCCCTTATTTAGTAGTTACTACGTCTAAGCTTAGAGGTTATTTTAACGTTCTAAGGCAATGTTGAAATACCTGAACTAATTGGAATCCTGAGCAGGACATTTTGAAAGTATTCTAAAGTTAACGACAAACAAATAAATGTGGCATGTTATATACCATGGTTTTGTATAAGCAATTGGGCTAATTCATTGCCCTCAATTGGTTGAAAAATGCACCTTCTTACCACCATCGATTAGACATGGACTGCATAACCTGAGAAACAACTCTTTGTTGGAGGAGTACACCACAGGAGACACCAAGCTGGCTATGATTTCTTCGTAATCCGATGGCAGAAATTTCTGCCATACGCTATCCAAATCGGCCATAGAGCGGACAGACGACGAGACTAGAGATGACCGACATGCGTCTCTGGGAGAAGTGAGTGATAAAATGTGTGCAAAGCAATCTCCAGGCAAGAGATCCAAATCCATTTCACTCGGTATTTTTTTCCCCCCTCTCTTTGTTAAGCATTAAAAAAAATCATATCACAAAACTTGCAAGTTGTGTTTGGTATTTTAGAGTAGGTAAACCGTATATATAGGACTTGGTATACCAAATAGTACAGCCATAGCGTTACTATGACAACATTTTCTTTTCTAGGACCGGTCCAAATGACAACATGAAGATAACACATGAGGACATCCAAGAGAAAAATTCACCTAAAAAATTTGGCTTCGTTAAAAAATCTACGGTCAGAAAAACGCCAACAGTGCCCAATTGATGCAACAAGTCTGTCTAAAACAATGCAAGAAATGAACAAATGAAGACAGTTTTGTTTTCCTTGTATTCCTGCAAAAAACAAGAACCTCTTCTTTTCCTCTATTTATCTTTTCCTTTAACTTTGAAATACAAAACAATGAAAGAATCAATACTGGAACCTGCACACATTAAAGTGGAAAAGAAACATACAACTTTATATCTTTCCTCTTTTTTACAAGCACCAAAAAAAAAAAAACAAAAAACAAAAAACAAATATATTGTTAGTCCTTAGGCCTCACTTCAATGCCTTCAATAACAAGCCCTGCTTTCAAATGAATACCCTTTGTCTCCATCAAATTAATGTTCACCTCTTCATCCTCTTCACCGGTGAAGAACTCTCCTAGCTTGATCTCCGTCCAACCGCAGTTTCTTTCACTCGGGATCGGTTCATTCCCGGGGAACACCTTTGCTTTCATTGTTTGATCAGAATCCACATTTTGTTGCTTCTTCTCATCATGTCTGCATACACAAGCTGTGCCATAAGAAACTTGGTTTCCCACTTTGACTGATGTCTCGAACGGCGCCATATCGAGCCCGTATGCCCGGTTGGAAATGTTCAGTACGAGATAAGCAGAGTATGCTGTGTTCTTGGAAAGGCTCTGAGTTCGAATCTTGCCATGGATTTCTAACCAAGAGATTGTAATGAGCTCAACCACCTCAGCAAACCTGAGCAAACAACGAAATATGAAGGTGCTTCCGTTACTAACTCTGCTTCAAATTAAACCAGACATTACTCTGTCATGATCAATTTAAATGACAATTCGTCGGTAGGGCGTGAAAAAAAAATTGCACTTTTAAATTAACATATCTTTATTAGATTTTTTTCCCTTTTGTATACTTTGTTTTTTATTCTGACATAACTCCAACTATATTTAATCTACAAAAACATGCATTACTGATAGAGACATCTAACCATAAAAAACTCCGAGTTTATATATATGTATATATAACTACTAATACTACATAACACACTTATTTCATATTACTTTATCCTACCTGAAATGAAAATTGCCTAGTTGTTTTTAAATTTAATTATGAATGTGAATGTTTCATTCTCGAGTTGAAAAATACTACCTTACTTGTCACACTAACAGAGAAACATTAGTTTACATATATTTTAAGAAATTGATTCATTTTACGTAGTTTTCATCAAATGCTTAAACAGAAAAAAGAAAGAAAATAATAATAATAATAACCTTGAGTCAGTCATATGTTTCCAGCTCCAATACATTGGTTCATCGCTCCATGTTATAGATAGCTCCCTTGCAGATAATAGATAGGATTTCTTGCCTGACGCTCTCTCTATTTTGAAGCTCTGATTATTGAAAACACACACACACACACACAAAATCAGATTAAACAGAGTATAGTCAACAAATTCCATATTTCCATCGACTTATAAAAAACGACATCTTTTAATTCCTGTAATTAAATACAGAGTTGAAACAGAAACAGAGCGTAATTTAATGAGGAAGACTTACCTTTCTACCGCCATCAATGAGGACAGGATTGCAGAGATGAAAGAAAAGCTCTTTCTTGGTTGGGTGCTTTAATGGGTTGTCGTTGACCAATCTCAAGAGTAGTTCCTGATAATCCGACGGCAAAAATTTCTCCCAAACGACATCGGATTCTGCTGCTGAGTTGAACGTTGATGAAACCAGAGAAGATCTGCATGCGTCTTGTGGAGAAGTGAGAGATAGAATTGTGGATACACAGTCTTCTGGTAAAAACATTTCCAAGCCTATCTTCAAATTTTTAGGAAACAAAAAATGAAAAAAGAAAAATCGACGAGAATGGATAATTAATGGAGATGATGTTACACAATATATCTTGGTGTCCTCTCTTTTCTTTTGCTTTCCAGATTGTTTTTCTACGTGTATTTAATGGAGATAATGTTTTGTGTGTGTATATATATAAATAATATATATTATATAATTATAATTTACATTCTTCTCGTGGACTAATAATACTAATGTGATTGGCTTTAACTTGTGATAGACCCGCCGAATCCAGCACGCCGCTTTTGCAAGTTGTTTTTGTTTGAAAGTTGAAAACCACGTGCAAGTAGTTCAATGTTGATTTCTTACTCGGTTTTACTTGTCGTTTTTCATCTGGTAACAATCCGACCCACTGGCTCTTCATTCTGTTCGCTATTGACAGATTCAAGTCGGAGATTATTGATAATTTATTAAATAACTAAATTATAATTATTAAGAGAAAAGTACATAATTTATTATGACTTTTTACGTTATGAGAAATGTTAAATATAAGGGCACTATTATAAGACAGTTAATATTAAGCACCATTTATCAATTAAAAAATAAGTTCCACATTGTAAAATGTACATAAAAGACTTATTTTTTTATTAGTAACTGTAGTTAACAGCAATATCTTTTAAGTATCTCATTAAATATAACCTCTTTTTCAGACTCTATGACGTATGTTTGTCTATTTTTTGGGCACTTGTCACACTAATTTAATAAACAAACCAATCAAACATCAAGTCATTTTTGACAACTAATTTGCGAAATTGCCATTCTCGATTGTATAAGAAAAATCCACCAACATACATGGCGATTGAGGAAGCAGAAAGAGTAGTTCTTCCTTGCTTCAGCGCCAACCACAATGGGAAGCACCATTTAGTCTCCGAATTTATATATATAATTTTTAATAGAAATCTCTGACCATATATTTGTGCTTGTGGTTGATCTGATGAACAAAGAGAATTGTATTTTTTTATTTACGTTTAAAAATCTGGATCTTATTCAAATAAATTAAACAATTTCTTAAAATTTTGGCAACCTGCGGACTGGCGATGAAGTTTAAAAGCTGGATTTTCTTCCACTTTTGATTGTCTGCCAGTGTCGTTGGATTTATGAGGCTTGAGAGATGGTTGATGGTTTGGCATATTTCTAACCTAGAAATGCTAGCATATTTTTTCTATTACTCTCTTTGTGACTCTTTATATTTATTGTTTGATATGTGAATTTTACTAACATGATATATTATTATTTACACAGAAAATAAGATAGTAAAATATACATCTCAAACAGTAAATGCAGAGAGTGACAAAGAGAATGATATTAGCAATTCTCTTTCTAATTTAGTTTTAAAAGATGAGCTTTTTATTTAACGAAGTTAAAAGCATCTCTAATACAATATTATAATTGATGTACTAATTACAAATTTAGAATTTGAGTGTAAAAAATACTCTTTAATGCAATGCTATTTGTTGTGCTAAATTTTTCACCTGCTATACTTTGTGATAAATTTTCCACCAAGTATAGCATATGAGAAAGTTGTCATTTAATTGATATTGATTGAAATGTTTACTTTTTCATGTAGTTATTGCTACTTATGCATTTTCTAAATATTTTAAAAATAAAAGTTTAATTTTACAATTTGCAAAGCTTTATGATTATGGGAAAAAGTAGATTTGACATTTCAAATAGCATTATGCATTAGAACAAAAATTAAAATAACATATTATATCATACTTTTTTATGTTAAATATACAATTGACATTTGCATTTACATAAGAGATGGTTTAACATATGATTTTTTTTTTAAAGGCAAACAGACACGTCACATATGTCAGGAAGTGATTGTGGCATGTGTTAGCATCCGAGTAAGAGACTCAGATTGGCATTCCTCTTTATGTCATTTTAAATAATTAGGTATCATAAAAAAAATTTATGTTTTCTTTCACTAATTAAATGGTAATTTTATTTTTGAATATAATGGTATAAATAATGTTTTTTTACCGTCTTGAGGTATTTTTTATTTTTCCTATTCATTAATTTGCGAAGTTTTTAATATGTACAAATCAATATTTTGTCTTAAAAGATTGCATGTTTTTCTACTATTGAATATTGATTAGAATCTCCTTTTATTGCATTCATGGGTTACAAAGCATTTTAGTAGTATTTTACGAGTTTATAAGAAGAAAATCAAAGTTCATTTGGTCTAATGGGATGGAAAGGAGTGTTGAAAGGATTTTGGGTGAGGGCTGCGGTTCGGTCCTATTTGTGTTTTTATTTATTTTGTTGGGAGGATTTTGAACGAGGGTTGTGGATTCGATTCTACTTGTAATTTTTATTTTTTATAAATAGAATGACACGTGTAATAATATATGCTAATTAAAAGGAAAAAAAAAATCAGAGACGTAAAGCTAATACATGGAAAAAGAAAACTGAGATGAAGTTTGACCTAGATCTTGTTTTATGCGAGGAAGTGTAAATTTTAAAAAAATAGAAAAATAAAAAAGAGATACAGAGTTACATAAAAGACAATGGCAAAAGTTTATAATGTGTTTAATTGAAATTCACAAATTTATATCTATGTTTTCAAAAATACTATGATCATGTATTAACATAATTGATATAAATTTTTATTGATACGATCTGATGATCTAAAAGGATGTATAATTTATCATATTATTATGTTGCATGCCTATATTCTCCCAAAACAAGTCTCTGTAATTTTTTTCAACGTTTTACTAAAATAAATTGGGATTCGATCTATGATAGGGTCAGTTTCTAAATGTTGATTTAGTTAAAATCACATCTGACTGAAAAAAAAAATTTTAAAAAAAGATAGTTTTTAATACAAATGTTACAGCTAAAAATTAAAGAAATACCGATAGTTTAGTTTAACTCCAAAAAATTTTGTAATATTGCAATTCTACTAAGTTACTACCCAACCAACAAGATCTTGGGTTGTGGCTGCTGTTTCTTTTAACAAAAGGGAAATTTTATTAACATCCTAAGATTTTATTAAGGCACTCCAAAACATTTAAAATTGGAAGTTAATTTCTTTAATATTAAAAGCTCACATTATTCCTTAAATACCCTTATACATGTTTCTTAATTTTTTTTTTAAAAAAGATCTTTCTAATTACATCTACTTTCCCAGATTTGTTCTTTCTGCCAAAACAATTATCAACCGTTCGCTTGGTGCATATCCGGATACGATCAAGAAACGTCAACTTTAAAATTAATATAGTATCTCAATCCCAAATTTAAAAGTCAAATAGAGAAAATTCATATATAAAAACAAACACACACACACACACGCATTGGCACCCAAGCATCAGAAATGAAAGTTGAAGCAAGAAAATCAAATTAACAAATCTGTGAAATGCAAAAAGTAGTGAGGATAAAATAATTAAAAAAAAAGTCATGAGGATGAAAACGAATAATAAAACAGGCATAATCAAAAGCATAAAACACATGTTATAAGAAACGTGTTTTTATCTTTAAGAAAACCATTTCTCAGTGATGGAGAAGTATGGGGTGTGTAGAAGAGTATTTGTGGAACAATGTGAGCTTTTTAATATATAAAAGAATAATTTTAAAATTTTACATATTTTGGAGTCACTTAATAAAATTTTAAGGTGTCAATATGTTTTCTCATAATAAAAATGGTATTTATCTCTATGAAAATACAATTCACACTCACAAATAATGAGTCTTATTAAATTGAATTTTATATATTCATTTAACAAGAGGTTTTAACATCACGAGATAAATAGACGTTCTCTTCTTTTAAATGGCAAAGTGACTTAAAGTGCGTTTGGTTCAAGAATTTGTGTCATGGTTCGAATCATGGTTTGTTGCTTGCTAAATTGTTTTCTCTCACAAAAAACACACGTAAATTGAGAATGGTTCTGAATCCATCAACCAAACATCCTCTTAGATTTGGTGATGTCACATCGTGATATGCTGTTATAAGATAATCTTACCGTAATCTTCAAATAGTACAATACAAGTTCAGAGGTGGAAATAGTTTTTACAATTGGGCAAAACATGACTCTCTTTATTCGTTTTCACATAGAAGATTCTTTCCAAACATGATTTCGATCGAGAAAACACCGTTCTAACAAGAAAAGGAGCTACCTTTATTGAACTAATAATTATTAAGTGGACGTTTGGTTCTTAGATTTAGAATCATGATTTAAAATTATTCTCGTTTTACGTGTATTTTTTGTGAGAGAAAAATACTGTAGAGAATAATAAATCATGATTCAGAATCAGTGATGAATACAAAAAATAAATATCCCCTAAGAGACTTTTTCCTATTAGACTCTCCATCGTTAATATCAATTTTTTAATATTAAATTTAATTAATATTATATTATATTAAAAATATATGTAGATTAAACTGCTATTGATACCGATTTAACAATTACAAAATAAAAAATTATTAATAACTCATTTTTTTAACCCTACTAAAAAAACTCCTATTTGTTATAACGATAGAAAAAGGTTTTGAATTATAGTTCATTATGAATGCAAAACTATAGAAATGTCATTTCAAAAAAAAAAAAATTTACAGAAGTTCAAGAGACGACAACTCTTATCCAAATGCATAAATAGTATTTGGATTAATGTTTTGGGATTTCATAAAACTTATAAGATATGTTTACACGAATGAATTTATGATTTGAGTTATATATGTGAGCGAAAAATATTGTAATAAAATAATTAAATTTTTAAAAGAAAAAGCACTACAATAATATAATAAATTCTCACGATCTAGGTTGGAGAAGTAGATAATGACATGTGGCTCTGGACCCCATCAATACTTTGGTTTCTCCTTCTTCAGATTTCCACCATTTCTCTTTCTTCAACTTCCATGGCTTCTCCCTTCACAAAAAAAAAAATAATGTTGGGCGGTATTTCCGGAATCATTAAACATGCGATAAATTCAACGGCTCCCCCCGGGAAAAACAAAAATTCTTCAAGTGTATTTAAGCATCAATTTTCAAATGAAAAAAAAAGGAACAAGTTTTAAATTTTCTGAGTTCTTAAGTTTGAGTTCTTGAATATCGATGAAGTTAGATATACCTAAACTACATGAT